TCTCTCTCCCCATTATCTCCTTCAGCTTTCCCACACGGCCGCCCAGGAAGGGGCTGCCATCACCTGTGATCCCTCTGGTGACAGGAGATCTCCTCCTCAGCCAAGTTGTTCATTTTGTTCTTTAATTCAAGCTCAGGACTGGGCTTTCCAGGGTGTGGGATCTTCGTGCGTGATGCCATCCCACACTGAGAGTGGCACCAAGCCACTGGCCTGCCACAGAGTCCCCAAACCCCTTATCCTGGTCACACCAACCACAAGGCCCATTTCTTGCAGAGATTAAAGAAATCAAGGGCAATTTCTGCAGAAAAAACCTCTTCTTTCCGTCCACCTCCTGATTTTGTCTGTCTCCAACTCTACCCCAGGTGCCAGCTCATGCCCCTGTACCAAACCATGCTTGCTGGTGCCTGTTCCTGGAGCTGGATGTGAGGGAAATCTTTGTAACAGGAAAGCTTTTAACATCCTTCTAAATCACCAGCTTTGTTATTTTCTCTTTAAGCTGCAAGCAAAAGAAATCAAGAGGTATTTCTGTGCCCACATGGGCTGGACATATATTCTGGGAAGAAAGGGGGAAGCACTGAATCCCAGCGATGAAAAGCAGGGGAATCTTGATTCTCCCTTGATTCTTGAAACCTACCTTGATTCTCCCCCCACCAGGAATACCAGTGACCCTCCAAGAGCACAGCCCAGTGTACAGAGCAGAGACATCTGCAGGGATGGCCACAATCTGTTCTTTACCAGCTCCAACAACAATTTTACCACTCGGTGCCCTCCCCTGGGAATGGAGAGAGGGATTCTGCTGAAGGAATCCTCAGGAGCTCTGTGGATCCAGGAGCCCAGAACCCAGGGACACTCTGGTCATCATCTGGCACCGACCTCCACAGAGAGCACAAGCTGTGCCGCCACATTCCAGGGCCAGCCACAAGTGGGAATTCTTACAAGGAATATTTTCTTCCCTATGTCCATCCCTGCCCTCTGGCAGTGGGAGCCATTCCCTGTGTCCTGTCCCTCCATCACCAGTCCCTCTGCAGCTCTCCTGGAGCCCCTTCAGGCCCTGCAGGGACTCTGAGCTCTCCCTGGAGCCTTCTCCTCTCCAGTGAGCACCCCCAGCTCTCCCAGCCTGGCTCCAGCCCTGGAGCAGCTCTGGGGCCTCCTCTGGGCTCTCTCCAGCAGCTCCAGGTGCTGCTGCTGTTGGACCCAGAGATTAAAGTTATCACCACCTAAAGCCACTTCCCTTTTTTCCCTGCTCCACTCATTTCCACTCTCTGCAAGTTTTCCCAGCAATGCCCCTCTATTTTCCCCTCACTCCCTGATAAAGATGTTTAAAGGGGTTTGGGAAAACAGAAGGCTCCTTCCAGCTCCCAGCAGGAAAAGCTGCTGCCTCCTCTCCCAGCTCTTCCCTTGCACTGGGCTGATTGAAAAGCCCATTTGTAGCACAACTCTGTGGGCAAGTTATGAAAGTGCTGAGAAAAATGGGGACACAAGGTGCGAGTCAATGGAGTTATTTTGTGCCTCTGCTGCAACAGCAAGAGCTGAATTCAGGACTGTAGATCCTGGCCCCACATCAGGGCTGGAACTCATGGGAGAGTTCAGGCCCGTCCTAAGTGCAGACCCAGGAAATAAAGGCCAGCCTTGTCAGGAGCAAGGTGCTGTGTTACATCCCTGTTGGGTCTCATAAAGAATACATTCACCCTTTGGCAAAACCAAGGCTCTTTATCTTCATCTGTGGAGGAATCTGTCTGACAGTTCAATACTGCCAACATCAATCCATCTGTGATCATGAACCAGGCTCCAAAAACCATGGCATCGGCCTGCAAATAGTAAAACGTGGGTGTGTTCTGTTTGTCTTCTGCTTCCTGAGTCTTTAGGTCAAACTCACTCTATGTTTTATGGGCAACCAAGAAGACAAGACAATTCACTTTTTTTTTTCCTATTTTTTATTTTTTAATGAGAATGAAAACAGAATCTCCTACAAACCACTGAGTAAACAGGGCTGCAAGAGCATTCCCACCTTGCCAGGGCTGTGGCTGGAGGGAGCTGGCCAGGCTGCAGGAGCTGGCTGCACACTGCACCTTTCCTTGGAAGTCTGCAGCCCTGCATCCCTGGCATTTGATCCAGCGTGGGCCAGGAGAAATGCACATGAGAGGGAAGTCAGCTGCAGGCAGTGGGGCTGCAGGACTCTGCTGGAAGCTGGTCTGGAGGGATTGGGCTGCAGGAGTGAGTCCTGTTGGGAGCGGAGGAGCCGCTGAGCTCCTGGGAGCGAGGGGCCCGGAATTCACCCTGGATGAAGCACAGGGACAGGCACTGCCCTGCTCCTGCTGGGACAGAGCTGGGACAGGCCAGGATGCTGCCAGGCAGCTGCTAACCACGCTGTTATGCAGGATGGAACACCCTTCACCCTGCAGAGAGCACCACAGAGCCTGCTCACAGCCGTGGCCAGCCCGCCCTGCTCGCCCTCAGGCTGGCACACAACCCAGGCTGGCACCATCCTCCTCTCCTCCTTCATCAGGAATGGATCACCCCCCAGGACTTCACTCTGCTGCTGTTTGGAACCATGGGCTGTGCCCGAGGCACAGGAGGGATTCCTGCTCCAATTCCATAGTCTCCCTCCACCATTTATGACTCATGACCAAGTCCTTCATCTCTGGCCTGCATTTGAGGAGGAGTCACTGCACCCCGCACCAGGCTGCCAGAAGTCCAAGCTGTGTCAGATGGGCATTTGATGGAAGATTTTCTCTGCCATATTCCACAGGGTAGAGCTAAATCGAGCAGTGAGGCTTCATAAGATAATTTACTGATGGAAGCACCTAGTCCAGCCTGGAATGGGAAACCTGGTCCTTTTTTTTAGAGTCTGAGCAGGTTGCCAAGCACAAACCCAAATAAATAGTCTGTAATCTGTGCAAAGCAGTGACACAGAGAGGACAGTGGTAAGAGATTCTGCTCCAGGCATGGAGATCAGCAACCAGGCAAGAGGCAGGGGTGAAGAAAGGCTGAGTAAAGCAAGGGGGAAGGACAGAGAGGAGAAGTGGGAGAGCAGAGTGCCGTGCTGTATCTCCTGTGTGCACCGTGACCCATCCCACCTGCACCCCATGGACCGTGGGCAGCATCTTCCCTGGGAGCTCCGGGAAGAGAAACGGCGGTGGCAGCTCCTCGGGAGAGGGGAGCAGCAGGGAAACCTTCCCTGACAGGCTGGGCAAGGCTGAGGTTCTGGCTGGGGACGGCAGGATTTGAGGCTGGAGCCTTGCACGGGCTTAGGATTCCCTCTGCAGGCCAGCCCTGAGCTCCGCACGTCCCGAGCTGAGAGCCACGGGGGCTTTGGGATAGAAGGATCCTCAGAGCCCCCGCAGTGCCACCCCTGCCATGGCAGGGACACCTGCCACTGCCCCAGGCTGCTCCGGGTCCCTCCAGCCTGGCCTGGGACCCTGCCAGCGACCCAGGGGCAGCCACAGCCGCCCTGGGCACCCTGGGCCATTTCTTTATGGCTCTTGTTGTAAAATATTCCCAGTATTCCACTCAAGCCTGCCCTCTGGCCGTGTAAAACCCTTGCCCCTTGTGGGGCATTGGGCCCAAAGAGAAGCTGGAGACCCAGAAGCCGAGTTGTGTCCAGGGCAGCTGGATGTGCAGGCTGGATTTGGGAGCACAGCTGGCAGAGATCCTTTCCCAAATCCAGCGTGCTGGGGCTCTGCACAGCTCCTTGTCCTGCAGGTAGCTTTGGTGCTCCCACGTTCCCTGTCCCTCCCCGAGGGCTCCCAGCTCCCGGAGCAGCAGCTTTGTGGAGCTCGGGAATAGCTCATTCCCTGTGACCGTGGCCAGCAGCAGCGCCTGCGGGACAGACACACAAACTGCTGGAGCCGGGCCAGTCCCGAGCCGCTGCCATCACTCATCCTAACAAAGTCACTGCGAGGTTTTTGTTTCACGAGAAGCAACTTTTTTGTCAGCTGGCATCGCACGGAGCCCGCCACAGCAGGGATGCACGTGCTGGTATCCCTTTAGTCACTCAGCAGCCAGAGACAACTAAAGATAGGAGCGTGGGTGGGATGGGGAGCCAGTGATATCCCCCAGCAGGCTCCTGGCACTCGTGCAGAGGCTGCTTCCCGGGCACGGATCAGCCCTTCCCCTCTCCAGCCAGGAGAGAGGAGCCTGCTCAGGGAGGCCCAGAGGTGTAGGCTTCACCTCTGTCTCTGCAGCCACATTTTCACTCCTGCCAGCCCAGTGTGGCTGAGAGCCTTCACCAGAGAGGGTGCTAAAATATGACGAAAAGACGGATCGGTTTGGTGCCCCAGCAAAGGGATGAGAGGCAGAAGAGAAGCGCAGGAGATTTCCATAGCAACTGGTGCAGAGGCTCTGCCTGCTCCGCTGTGCTCTGAGTCACCGGCCGTGGTGCTGGGTGCTGGGTGCTGGGTGCTGGGTGCCCACCCGAGCTGCTCCCTCAGCCCCTGCCCAGCCGGACAGCGGAGGGAGCACCGAGCAAAGGCTCCTGGCTCGGGATAAGGACGGAGGGACCAGCGGGGCTGTGACCACGGGCGGGCAGAGCCGGGCGTGCTCACCTGGGGACACCTCAGAGAGCTGGGAGGGCTCCAGGGGAGCTGCACAGGGGCTGGGGACAAGGGATGGAGGGACAGGACACAGGGAATGGCTCCCACTGCCAGAGGACAGGGATGGGTGGGATATTGGGGGTTAGGAATTGTTCCCTGTGAGGATGGAAAAGCCCTGGCACAGGGTGCCCAGAGCAGCTGTGGCTGCCCCTGGATCCTGGCAGTGCCCAAGGCCAGGCTGGACAGGGCTGGGGCAGTGGGAGGTGTCCCTGCCCTGGCAGGGGTGGCGCTGCAGGGTCCTTCCAACGCCGCCCATCTGCGGTTCCATGATTTATCCCAGGAACCGGGAGCCCGTCCCGTCCCGCCCGGGCGCGGGGGGCGCTGCCGCGCGGATGAATATTCATGAGCGGGCGTGGCCGGCGCGCGCTCATTACTATGCGGCGCGCGCGGGGCGTCCCCTCATGAATTATGCGCGGTGGGCGTGGGGACAGGGCTGGGGCAGTGGGAGGTGTCCCTGCCCTGGCAGGGGTGGCGCTGCAGGGTCCTTCCAACGCCGCCCATCTGCGGTTCCATAATTTATCCCAGGAACCGGGAGCCCGTCCCGTCCCGGGCGCGGGGGGCGCTGCCGCGCGGATGAATATTCATGAGCGGGCGTGGCCGGCGCGCGCTCATTACTATGCGGCGCGCGCGGGGCGTCCCCTCATGAATTATGCGCGGTGGGCGTGGCCGCCGCGGCCCTTCAAAGTGTGGGAAGATGGCGGCGGCGGCGGCGGGTGCCGGCGGCCGGGCCGCGCTGCGGGGGCGATCGGCGGCGGGGCCGGCCCGCGGCCGAGGAGCAGCAGGACGCGGTGGTGCTGTCGGTGGCCGAGTGCCCGGTGTGCCGGCAGGCGCTGGTGGAGGCCGTGACGCCGCCCTGCCGCCACTCGCTCTGCCTCGCCTGCTTCCAGCGCTGCCCGCAGGGCCCGGGCCTCTGCTGCCCGCTGTGCCGCAGCCGCCTCTCCACACGGGCCCGGCGGCGGCAGGCCGAGCCCGCAGCCAGCACGGCGGCCGGAGCAGCGGGCGGGGAGCAGCGGCCCCCCCGAGGGGATGCCGCTGGCGGGGGTGTTTCCCCGCTTCCTGGGGTGTTTCTGTGGCCCCAAAGTGGACGGTCCCAGCGGTGCTGGCAGGAGCTGGGCAGGTTTGTGGTGCGTCGAGACAGGGAGGGTTTTGCAGCATGGGAAGTGCTGGTGGGTTGTTGACATAGAGAAAGTCCATCGTCCCTGTGTTCGTGGCTTTAGGTGCACGTTTGCTCCCTGCCTCCAAAGCAAATGCCTTCTCAGCTCCTAGAAAACTGCTCCCTGTGTTCCCTTCACAATAAACCCTCGCGTGAGGCAGCGGCACTGCTCTTTCCCGGTGGGAGCTGCTGGAGATGCCCGCCTTGCTGCTGTCAGAACTCGGGGTGCGCTGGGATCTGTGGTTGGAGAGGTGCTGCAGCAGTGCTGAGGGAGCCCTGCGGAGCAAACAAGGACTCAAGCCTCAGATAAACATCCTCGTGGCCCAGCCCGTTCCCTTCCCAGCGTGTTTCTGGTCTCCCGCTCCCTGCTTGTGTCAGCAGCCTCTAATTGGCTGTGGGAAGAGTTGGCAGGATGAGCTTAAACAGCTCAAATTGGTGGTTTGAGCTAACCCCACTAACCTGGAAGAGATTTAGGAAGGCTTCTCATGAAGGATTTGCTGAGTCCACGAACAGATGGGCTGCCCAGGGGGAGCCGAGCTGAAGCTCCCGAGGTTCCTCCGGAGGAGGGACAGTGGGAACTCCCCGAGTCAGGGCAGTGCTGTCAGTCGTGCTTCAATGGGCTCCTTGGATGAGAGCGTCCATGCTGCAGGAATGCCTGTGCACTGCCTGAGCTGGGCTTTTTAAAGCGGAATTAGTTTTAATTCTCTGCTTGTCCTGGGCTGTGTGAGATGCGTGCGGGACCAAGGAGGGGCTGACCCTGCTGTTCCTCCTCCTTGCCCTTGTGAAGGGATGGGTCACATTTGCTTTCTCCCAAGCCTCATGAGCCTCTCCTGGTCACCGTGGCCTTATCAATGGGCATGTAATGCATATATTTATATATTTATCCGTGTATGTAGGCCCTTGAGGGAGAGCAGCAAGGGCATCAGAGCCCAGCTCATCCCAGTGGTGCCCAGTGCGAGGACGGAAGGCAAAGGACACAAACTGAAACACATCAAGTTTCACTGGCCACAAGAAAAATACCATTTGCTCTGAGGGTGACCAAGCACTGGCACGAGCTGCTGAGAGTGTTTGTGGAGTTTCCATCCTCAGGGAGAGTCAAAACCCAGTTGGACATGGGCCTGGGCAGCCTGTTCCTGCTGACCCTGCTCGAGCAGGAGGGTTGGGTCTCCAGAGGTCTTTGCCAGCCTCAGTTATTGTGTGATTCTGTTATCAAACACCGATTAAGCTCAGGTATTTACTTTAATCACTTAAAATGTGCAAAATCTTTAAAACTACTCGGTATGACCATTTGATATACCTTGATTATTCCATCTTAAACGCCGAGTAATTAGTACCAAAGTACAGGGTGTTTTCGTTATTCCCTTTGGGATTCCTTGGGCTGAAGGAGCCCTCAGGCCCTGCCTGAGGCTGGGATTCTGCACTAGGTGACCAAATATGTGTAAAGTCAAAGTCCTTGTCACGGCACTTGTCAAACAGACCTGGACAGAAATCAGACAGGCAGCGACGGACACAACACAGAACCGTACTCCTGGGTTTCCCTGAGAGCTCCTGGGCACCTGATTCCCTGGGAGCTGCGCTGCTGCCTTCAGCCTGGCCCCAGCTGCTGCTCCAGGAGGATGCAGGTGGCCTGCGGGTCCCACGTCCTCTCTGTGGGCATCCAGGTTCCACAGAGCCCCTGGGTGCTGCTGCCAGGCCAGACTTGGGGCTAAAGCTGCAGTGCTGGCTGCAGAGCTCTGCTGAGCGAGGTTTCTGATATTGAAACAGTTGCTTGGTGAAATTCTTGGAAGGCAGAGAGGAGCAGCAGATGGGAGGCTTGGAGACTGCGGGCGTGTGTTTGAGGATTCAGCTGGCCAGGGAGAAGGAACAGGATATGTTTGCAGAGAGGTGCTCGGCCCCGTTTGTGAGAAAATAAGTGCATTCCCATTTCAGAGAATCGGATTTCTCTTGTTTCCCCTCTGCCCAGTAGCAGTGCACAACAATCACCAAGTGACGCTCGTGCAGGAGGGGTGGTGTGTTTTTGCCAGGCTTGTAAAATGACTTCCCCCTCCTTCCTCCCAGTCCTTTTTTGGCAGTGGTTTTCCCCTTTCCCCACTGGACCAAACCAGTCTAGTTCTTGAGCGTTTCCTGGTGATTCCTTAAGTTCCTGTTGTTTCTGTTGTTCTGTAGCCTGTCACCAGTTTTTTTTTTGTCTCAAGACCACAGTGCTAAAAGCATGGAAGTGGCAATCCCAAAGAAGCCTTTCCCTGTCTCGGGAAAAGCAGTGATTTGCTCCCCACATCAAACTGGTTAAAGCTGACACCATCCCTTTTTTCCTCCTTGTCATGGTGCTGTATTGCTGGTGGGATGAGTTGAATTTAAGATTTCCTAGGAAGATAGGAGAGGGTGCCACTTGCATCTCCATCTCTTTCCTCACTGTCCTCTCTCCAGCACCCCACAATATTTACATTATTTTTAATCTGCCATTCAAGCCATTAATGAAGAGAGTGATTAGGACCAGACCCAGAGCTAGCCCCAGTGGTCAGTGTGAGAGGCATGGCAGTGGATCATTAACTCTTGGAAAATAATTTTCCAGTTGAGTGGTGGTAACACCTGTGCCAGGGTCAGAAAATTCCTAACTTCTTAAGTGTTTCGAAAACATTTAAGATTTCACCTTCAGCTGCAAGTGTTAACTGGCAGGAGGTAAAAGGAAAGTAGTAAAAACCTTGAGGGAAGCAGGAGCTGCAGAGCCTGCTGAAAGTTCCCATGGAAGCTGGGGGCGAGGGGGACTCGCTGCTGCTGGTGGCAGAGCTGGCACTTGCCTGATGGCATCGGCCTGGCACCACCCAGGAGCCTCTGAACGACAGACAGGAAACCAAAGGGTTCTGAATCGGGTTCAGCTTTACTTTCAGTCAGCCCGTGTTGCTGAATTCACCAGATGGAGGTTTCTGGATCTTTTGCCAGTAAATATAAAATGTTTTGGTCAGGAGTGCAGCCCCACGGAGATGGTGTGTAAGACACACTTGCGAGCGGGTGTGGAAAGGATGGACTCACTCAAGGGGATGGAGGCTGCAAGTCAGATGCCTCTTACAAAGAAAACCAGTGTTAAATAATTAGAAGATCTTTTGTCCTCTCAAATAGTGCAGAAATCAGTTGTTTTTTCCAAGACTGAGCACAATGGGATGCAGCTCTTGGCTGCCAGCATAAAGAAGCAGGATGCCAGGTTTGATCTGCCACCACGAGTGTTTCAGTGCTCTTGCCAGGCTGGGAAGGAGCATCCCAGCAGCAGCACTCCCAGCAGCCCTTCAGAGTCAGCTTCGTTCAGGAGCCACTTCTGCTGACCCACAGATCACTCGAGAGGAAGGGCAAACAGGAGATTTGCTGCAAAATCAAGTAAAAAGCCTTTTCTTCCATGGTTTTGCCTGCTTTGTTGTTGTCTTGGGCTGTGGCACACATGAGCAGCCTTGTCCTGGACCTGAACATCCAGAATTGGCACGGGGAGGAGTGCCAGAGAAAGACACGGGATGCTCTGATCACCTCATCTTCCTGCCAGTGCAAGGACTGGTCTGGTTCCACTTGGAATGGTTCTGTGCCAACAGCAGAGCATCCTTGGGTGCAGCACCCCTCTGCCCGTCAGGAGAGGGGATGCTGTCCCTGTGCCCAGCCCTGGAGGCACCTCTGCTGCGTGTTTCCCTGGGTTAGCTTGTGCCCTGGAGGGGAAAACTCCACCTTTTGAGCTCTGGAGACAAGCCTTAAACACTGAGGAGTAATTGAAGTTTGCTGCAGGCGAGTTACAGATTGCTGCTGCTCTTGGGACTGTCTCCTTGGAAGTTTCAGCTTGATAAAGTTCACAAGAGCTGGAACCGCTCAAGGACACAATTGAAAAAAAACATTTTGGGAAGCCGGTGGAAGGTTTCCAGCGTGGCTGGTTGCAGGAGCAGGGAATGCAGCCTGGCCTCCCCAGCATCAGCATCTCTTGGGATTTGGATCACGTGTCTAGGGACACTTGGGATGTTGTCCTTGAGAAACAAGCCTGGCTCGTGCAGGCGTGTGAGTACCAGGAAACAGCAGCTGTTTGCTGCCAGCTGGTCACTGGGTGTTGGATCCACCCTGCCATGTACCTTCCGTTTGGAGCCAGATGGAACAAAAGGGAGGTTCTGGAGAAAAGGAGGCTCGGGGGGGACCTTGTGGCTCTCCACTGTTCCCTGACAGGGGGCTTTGGGCTCTGCTCCCAGGGATCAGGGACAGGACAAGAGGAAACAGCCGCAAGCTGTGCCAAGGGACGTTCCCTTTGGGAAGCAGGAGGAATTTCTTCACTGAAAGGGTGATCAGGCATTGCCTAGGGAGGTGGTGCAGTCCCCATCCCTGAGGGTGTCCAGAGAACGACTGGATGGGGCACTGAGTGCTCTGGCCTTGCTGACAAGGTGGGATTGGTCACAGACTGGGCTCAATGGTCTCAGATGTCTTTCCCAGCCTGAATAATCTTGGGATTCTGTGAAAACCTTCGATGGAGCTGCTGGTTTATATCCTTCAATTTTAGCAGGATGGGGAAGGGAAGTACCCTTGATGTTTCCTCCTTGCTCAAACTTGCTCCATCCTGACCTTAGCACACTGGGATGATGAGCTGTGCTGCGCCCTGCCTGGAATGCTGATACGGATTGAGCCAGGATGGTTGTCCAGGGGTTGTTGTTTTGTTCTGGTTGTTCCCTTTTGCCTCCAGGCTCCTCCAGCTGAAGTGCAACTTGCCCAGACTTGCACTGCACGGAAGTGGGAGGGAGCTTTGAGGCCGATACAAGCAAAGGGCTCCTCTGGGAATAAGAGACTCCAGGGATGGAAGCTGAGCTGTAACTCTGTGCCAGTATGCTTTTGGTTTCTGACTTCCCGAGGGGAAAGGAAGGAAGTGGGAGCAGGACAGGGAACTCTGCCAGACAGAGCATCCTGCCCGCTCAAACCCCTGATCTGGGGAGTGCCCTGCAAGCAGGAGAAAGGCTGGGCTCGCTCGGGATCCGTGGGACAGCAGTGCAGGCACTGCAGGGGATGAGGAGGAGGCATTCCCGAGCAAACAGGAGCATTCCCGATCCTCGGGAGCGGCTCAGGGGCAGGGCTGTGAATGCGGGGTGTGTGCTGCTGCTGGCAGCCTGGGCCTGGGCTGTCTGCCTGCAGCAGGCACCTGAGTCCTGCCTTTGCTCCTGGCACTCAGGTTCCCTGTGCCTGAGTCCTGCCTTTGCTCCTGGCACTCAGGTTCCCTGTGCCGGAGTCCTGCCTTTGCTCCTGGCACTCAGGTTCCCTGTGCCTGAGTCCTGCCTTTGCTCCTGGCACTCAGGTTCCCTGTGTCGGAGTCCTGCCTTTGCTCCTGGGACTCAGGTTCCCTGTGCCTGAAGCCTGGGTTTGTTCCCGGGACTCAGATTCCCTGTGACATCCCCAGGCTGTTCCTTCACCCCTGTGTTTACATCCTCCCAGTGCTCCCTGATTGCTTAACTGCTTGTCAAGGACTCTTGAGAATCTCAAAGGAAACTCGGGAAGTGCAAAGTGGGATTGCGTGGCCATCCTCCTCCTGATGTTTCTCTGTGTTAAACAGAGCTGTGATAGCAATAGCAGAATATAAACATCTGGGGTTGAAGAAGTGCTGCAGAAGCTCTTGTGCAGCCTGTGGAGATCTCACCCTTTTTGGGAAATAATGGCCAGCACCAGTTATCCTCCACTAAAAAATATCTCCTTTTTTTTCCTCTTTTCTTTCCAGACTTTATATTCAGAGCACCCATCAAATTGAGCAAAACAGGAGAACTCCGAGAAGAATATGAAAGCCAGCTAAGGAAGGTCAGTATTTTGGGCAATTGTATTTTTTCTTCCAAAACAAGCTGGATTTCCTGCAGGAATGCCATCCTACCTGTAGGGAGACCTGAAGGGCTCTTTTTTCCTGTTCTCTAACAAAGGTCATTTATTCTCCTTATACTGTTCAGCCAGTTCAGGAAATGGCTGTAACTGAGCATGTAGAAGTCAAATTTTACTATCTTAGCCTGCCTTCCAGAACATGGAAATGTACATTCTTTGGAGTGACTGTTTGGTTGTGGATGTAATTCCATAAAGGCTTTTGCAGCACAAGGCATCTCCTTCTAACATCCTTCTCCTCAAAAACAAACTATTACAAACTAGGGCTTTCTATTTATTTCTAGCCAAGAATAAAATGTCATTTAAGGACCAAAAAAAAAAAAAAGCTCATGAAAATATTTTTTAGGTTTTTGATCTTTGTGATCTTGTTTTCCCTTGAGGTGGGTTCAGCCCCTCGCTGATTATTTTACCTGCTGGGTAAAAGGAACCTGAGGGGTTTTTCATGGTTGAAGGATTTTCTTTGGGTTTTCACTTATAGATCTCAACAGGTTTAAAAAGGGCTGGGGTGCTGATTGAGTTATTAAAACAGCCTTGTCTGAGTAGGAAAATAGGTGATATTTCAAGTAGATAACTGGTCTGGGAAACACATATGTGTGAGGAGACAGTCAAAAAGCATGGAAGGGTCTTCCCTCCTGCTTCTCCATGTATGGAATTAGCAGTGACACTAATGGGCACTGTCACTGCAGGTTACTAAGGTAGCTCTGGCTGACTGTTTCGTTAAGGAAATTAGGAATTCATTAGGAATTGCAAACTCTTCTCCAACTGAGGTGCCTTGCCAGGAAGGCAGGGACACTGTGTGCAAAGTCGTGGGACTTGTGGCATTTTCAGCAGCAATTCTCTGTCAGATTTAAGGAAGCACGTTTGCAGCATGGTCAGGCTGCAGCTGGAAAGGTTCTTACATCTACAGCCTGACTTCAGCAAAAAGATACCACGTGCAGTCCAGTGCCAGCCCTTCTCCCTTCCCTTCCAGTCAGAAGGAAATTCTTTACCACGTTTCTAGCATTTGGGCATGTTTTTATCTTGTTCAGCCTGCTGCCTTCCCCTTCTTGCCCCCTGCCAGATGGGAGATGGGTTTCTTCCCCCTGCCAGCTTCAACTTGGTTTTTGTGAAGCTCAGCTGAAAGAGCCGTGTGGGAGGAGATTCTGTGAATCGTCATCTGAGAGGAAATGGCAGTGGGATTTGGCTGGTAAAATGACAACTGGTGATGCAGCCACACTGTTTCCTCATTCAGAATAGAATCACAGAGTCGTTTATATGGGAAAAGCCCTCTGGGATGGAGTCCAGCTGTTCCCCCAGCACTGCCAAGGCCACCACTATCCCATGTCTCCCCGTGCCACATCCACATGGCTTTTAAATCCCTGCAGGAAAGGGGACTCCACCTGTGGGCTATGCCAGTGACTGGCTGTTCTTTTAGGGAAGGAATTTACCCTGGTATCCAGCCTAAACTTACTTCTTGTCCTGTCACTTGTTACCTGGGATGAGAGACTGACTCTCACCTGGCTCTGCCCTCTTGTCAGGAAGTTGTAGGGAAGCTGATCTGAAGATTGTCACTGTTGCTACTTATCAAGAGTTTCTTGGTGTCTCTGAACTTCCAAATCAGGGAGGACTCAGGTTTGGGAATCTATGATTTGGTTTCCTTCCCTGTCTTGAGATACAGGGTTTCATCCCAGCTTCCCTGCCTGTGGAATAGGGATAAGGGGATAACCTGGGCTGAGGAAGGGACAGGAGCATTTCCAAACCTTTTTATATCTCCCAGCTGTGAGTTGTTTTACATACCTGAACTCTTGACCTGCTTCCACACTTTTTGCAGTTGAAAACAAAGTGATACCGTAATTGTGTACTGAAAAGATTTTATTTGACTTGGATTATCTCATAGCTTAATTTTCTCAACTGGCTTTCAGAATGAGAGAGATCTTTGCTGTCTGTGCAGGACAGCAAGATAGGGTTTTCCTCTTTTGAGCCCTTGGTGCGCTTGCATTTTATGTTTTTCCAGAGGAGGCTGTCATTTCTGTGCACTCAAACCCTAACTCACCCTGTCCAGCTGTCTTTCTGTCTATCACAAGCAAGTCTGTTGCTTGTGAGCACGCAGAGTGGGAGGGCAACTCCTACCTGAGGCATGTGCTGACATGCAGCTCCCAGAGCCAGGGCAGACGGAGCAGGCTCGGGAGGCAGCAGACCTGGACAGTTCCTGCAGGGAAGAGAGGACACCAAACGTGAGTTTGCCAAACTTTGGAATTAAATGGTAGTGGCAGGAATGGTGGTTCTGAGTGAACAATTGATTGCTTGTACTGCATTTTTCCCCCCTGCAGCTGCAGTATCCAGAAGGACTAAAATGCAGTTTCTGATAACTGTGCTGTTCACAGCAGCTGCAGGTCCTGCTTCCAGTATTTCAGAGATGCTGCTCAGATACAGTGAGGTCCTTCTCCCAGGGTACATGTTTCTCACTACGTTGTTTCAGTTTCTCGTCCTCCTGCCTCAGCACAGCATTGCCATGTCTGGAAGGAAATCCTCTGGGAGACAATTTACATTAAGGCTACTTCAGATTATTATTTTTGAACTTAGTACAGATTTTATCATTAGAGTTTGATTTTGCTTGCAGCCTTAATTCTGGACCTAAATTCATTTTTGTATTCTATTAATTAGGATTAGGATCCTGTTGTTGCCTTTTTGACTTCACTGTCAGCAAAGCTGGGGTTGTCACCTCACACTAATTGTGCTGTGGATTTCCCCAAAATCCTTAAATGTTCCTGTGTGTTGTTACATATTCTTGTGCCTTTCGATTTTATAATTTAGCCAGAAAAGTGAATTTTTCTATATAACTTTCTTCCACATGGGAAATATAGGAGGGACATGAGTGCTGGGTGGCATTTCAGCCAGCCAAAAAAAAAATTGTGATAAATCTTGGTGTGAACTTGTTTTTCAGATGCTTCAAAAAAGGCAGAAATACTGTTGACTTAGAGCAGACTATTCATCATGTCTGCATCATGTGGTCACAATCTATGTTAGTCAGACTGTTGTAGTTATTGCTTGAGATTATTAATAGATGAGGAATTTAAAGATACATCTTAAAACAACTCTAAGCAAGGAGTCGAACCGGTCTTTGAAAATATTTGCTGAACACCCACAATCAGCCACACAGTGGAGTTTTTCCTGGTTTCTGCCTTTTTTCTTCCTTGTTTTCCTCCTTGTTTCTGTCTTCCTCATGTCTGGGGGCTTGGATTCAGTAGGATTTGGGTCTTTGCCAATTTGAAAATCACAGTGTGCTTTTCCTGTAATGTCTCGTGAACTCTGTTTCCTTTGTCATCCTTATGTCCATACTTCTGAGGTTTTGCCTTCCTCCAGCAGGGAAGAAAAACACTAAATATTTTTGGAAGATGTTGTTGCTGCCTTTTTGAGTTAGGGAGCTTCTTAAGCACCTGAGATGCCTTTGCCAAAATATGAGGAAAAGCCCAGGGATATGAATTCCTGGTGCTGTGATTCATGAGCAGGACAAAGAGGTGTCAGTCAAAGGTCTGGATAACTTCTGCGTGGAGGGTGGATGGAGGAAGGAGGGAGGATCTGTTCTATGTACAGATAGATGTAGACTATTCCTGGGCTGTGTCTAAGTTGAGGAAGAGGCAAGACACAAGCTGGGAAAATGGCTGGGTGATAGAGAGAGAACCTGGTTACCCTGGGCAGGGACAATCAGATGGTGCCAAGGCTGTTCCTCAGGAAAAGGTAGTGGAAAGGAGGAGAAAAGGGGTCTTGTTGGTTTTGACAGCAAGTCTGAAAAAAAAACAAAATAACAAACCAACCTGGCAGAAAAGGGGAGTTTGATTCCTTAGGTGAGGAGAACAGTGCAGCAGGACAGGCAGCCCATGAGAGCCCATGTGCCTTGTGTCCCAGATCCTGGCATTCCCTGTTTGAAGCTGAATTCAAGCTTTGAGCCTGGGGTCGGCTGTCAGGGGAAAGGTGGCCTCTCTGGATCCCCTCCATCCCAACGCATTGGTGAAACAATGGGATGTCATCTCTCGTGTGGCTTTCAACGTGGGAATGGCTGCATCTCACCTTTCATTTTAGATGCTGCTGCTTGTGTGTCTGCCAAATTGTGTGTGCTGCGTGTCAGGCCATTGGGAGGCTAAAACTGAAATATCACAGCTTGCTTGAAGCTGTTGTTGCACATTTTTGTATGTAGTGTGATCACCTACAAGTAGAGAAAAGCTTTTGTCTCTCTGTTTTCTAAAATAGTGGCAGAGAAGGCTTTGTCCAGCCCTGGGCCTCACGGTGCCTTTGTTGTTTTGCAAAGAAGATAAAATCCATGATTCTTGTGTGTAAACCACAAATGTGGTATAGAAGCAAACCAGTCTTCACATTATTGTGAGAGAGAGGCAGTGGCTCCACCCTGGAGTAGAGAAATGAAGGCACAAAATTAAATGATGTGACCAAAGTCTTGTTCTTTCCAGTCTGTAAGTGTCGGACTTCAAATTTAACTACTCTACCTCTCTTGTCTTTATTTCCAGCTGAGAGAAGAGAAACTGCAAGAAGAAAAGACATCTGAGGATCTGATTCACAAGTTCATCCTAGATGACATGGACGTAGGGAAAAGAAGAATGGAGGAACAGCAGAAAAAAGATGAATCTGTAGTGCTGAAAGGGAACCAAGACTGTGTAAGTGATCTCATGCTTCTCCTTCCTGCCCACATATCAAAATTTTCATTCTTTGGCTTTCCAGGATTCCTTGATTGAGTTTTAATAGTTTATGAAGGCTATGAGCTGGCAGACTATAAAAATCCTTGTTAATGAGAACTGTCTTCCAGGGTCTATTATGACTGCAGACATTCTTCTAGAGGTTTCTGTCCCCCTTTTTACCCTCTGCTGTGTGACTCTTCCTGACACAGCAGATCCCCACAGCTTTGGGGATACCCTTGGTATTCAGGCTTGCATGCATTTCCATGAATAATTCTCCATGAATCTTCTGCAGTGAAGTTGTACAACTGAAATTCAACACATTCTTCATGCTGACTTCTACCTGTTTCCCATTTCATTTGGGAGGCCCTGCAGGAAAATGCTCTTAAAATTTCCATTTGATAGGCTGACCCATGGGGGCTGAGTAACCAACACCCTGTAGTAACCTCTATTGTAGAATTTTCCCACATTATCTTGATCAATAACTAGCCTTTATGTGATGACTAACAGCTATGTATAGGAGCTATGTGCTTATTTTTGTATTTTTTATGCATTATGTCCTCTCAGTATAATCAGAAATGGGGGATGTGGGGATCTTCAACACTTTTGCAAGAAAGAGCTTTATTTTCCAAGTGATTCTTTTTGTTGTGCATGTCAGCTAACTGTTCCTTGGTTGACTTCAGTTTCCTGAACGTCTCTCGGACTCCGAGAATGAAGAACCATTCCAGGGCAAGCAAACACACCGGTCAGCTTTTGTTTCCAAGACCAGTGCTTACTCCTTTGCTTTCCTTTCAGGGTAAGATGCTGAGACTTTATTTAATGTCCTTTAAAGATGTAAACACACCTGACGTGCTCCAATTCAAACGGTGGTTCCAATCTAAAATAAGTGATTTTTTTTTTCTGGAATTTTAGAGCAGACTCATTGGTAGAATGTGGTGTCTGTCTGATTACTTCCTACCTGGAAGTTAATGTTCATCCCATGAAGGAGAAAAATCATTGCCTGTAGATTTAAACCATTAGTCAGAAAGCAAAATTTTGTAGGATGAGCTCAAGCGTGCTGGTTCCCTTCTGCAGCACAGATCTGAAGGGATAGCATCAGCCCCAAACTCCCTGGAAGGCTGTTGCTTGAGGCAGAGGGAGCAGCAGAATAACCAGGTGTGTTTCCAGGTGAGAAGCAGAGAGGTTTCCCCAGCTTCCTCCTCAGTTCACTGTGGGCCATGGGCAGAGGTGCCCGTGTTTCAGTGCAGGGCGCCTGAGCGCAGAGCAGGACTCTGCTGCAAATCCAGGATTCCCGGATCCCTTAGGGGGCACGGGAAGTACCGTACCTCTGCCAGCCAGGTGCTGCCAAGGCTGATGCCTCTCCCACAGGTGGCAACTGCCAGGGCTGTTGAGCTGGTTGTGCCCAAGGTTCCTGTTCTCACCCTTCTGCTTTCCAGGAATTTAACCTCCAAGGTGGAGAGGAGTCGGAGCTGCAACGACACCATTCAGGAGAGATCCAAGAGCAGGCAGAGATCAGCCCCAGCCACCAAAGCAAAGGTACAGGCAGCGTGTGTAAACAGGTTCCCGTGTGTAAATGTTCTTATCTGAGCTTACACAGCACCAGTAATCTGGAGATATAAAATATGGGCTTTGTGGCCCCGTTATCGCCGTGGGGCCAATCACCTCCTTGCGGCTCCCAATAAAACCTGCCGGGTTGGGAATTACTAAACAGAAAAGCAGACAGGTGTCAGGGTTCTTGTGTAGCGTTGGAGGCTAATTGCAAGTTGAAAGGGTTCTCATCAGGCTTTTGTTTTGTGATTCATTTTCTTTTCAAGGCTGAATCCCCAGCCTGGTAAAAAAAAAAAAATCTTCTAGAAGTTTAGGAAAATAATTATCTTTTCCTTTCCCTTTCTCTCCAAAGTTGTTTAAACAGAGCAAAACTCATTGCTTTCCTGACATCAGGGTACATTGGCACTTCCATACTATAGAAGATACAGAGGCGTGGTCTTCATGGGATCACAGAATGGTTTGGGTTGGAAGGAGATGGCCTTTAAAGTCACTCCTCACCCAAACCATCCTGTGGCTGTGTGATTTTGCTATCAGAGTGGTTGTTACTTGAGGCAAGAGCAGCTCTTAGACTGAAATGAATTTGACACCCCCATTGTGCTGGGCTCCGTAGTCTGCTGCTCGTGTCTGCCTTGGCCATGGGAGGTGCTGTGACTGCCAGAGGCCATCGGGGACGGCCGTGCCCAGCAGCCACCCGTTCCCCATCTGTCCTGGCCAGCGCGTTCCCAGCTGTGCTGCCTTCCTTGCAGGTGCTGCCGGTGCCGGGCGCCTCGGCGCCGCTGCTGGGGGTGCTGTCGTGCGCGCAGAACCACCGCTGCCTGTCGGCCCCGGAGCTGACGGCTGAGCGGCGCCTGCTGCTCAGCGCAGTGTCCTCCCTGTCGGCCCTGCACCGCCCGGAGCGCTCCATCAGCCCCGAGAGCAACGACAGCATCTCCGAGGAGCTCAACCACTTCAAGCCCATCGTCTGCTCCCCGTGCACCCCCCCGAAGAGGCTGCCCGACGGCAGAGTGCTCAGCCCCCTCATCATCAAATCCACCCCCAGAAACCTGAACCGCAGCCTGCAGAAGCCAACCACCTATGAGGCCAGTCCTAGAATACTGAAAAAATGGGAGCAGATATTTCAGGAGCGTCAGATCAAAAAGACTCTCTCCAAAGCAACCCTTACGTCCTTGGCTTCGGAGCCTGGGGAAGACGTGGTGGTTCCTGACATCACCAACTCCAGCAGCTGCACTAAAGAGCAGCCACAAGTGCAGGAGGATCACCTTCCCCCTGACACAATAGGAGAGCCTCGCCCTGAGCTGGATTTCTTCCCTTCTGTCAGTGAAGTGAAGCTGGGGAGGGGGACTGAGAAGAACAGGGGTTCACAGGCCTTAACCACTGATGAGGGTGCAGCTGAACCAGATGTGAGATCAAGTGTAACCTCCCTAAACACACGCGTGGCTGAAGTCCCTGACCTAAAGGTGAATGCATTCATGGACAAATCCTGTCTCAGCCTGGGCCCGAAAGTGCTGAGCAGGAGACTCATGGGCATCAGCGCATCGCTGCCTGACAGCAGCACGCTCGCAGTCCCCATCAAGCCAGCGGGGAAAAAGCAGCTGAAATACCTGAACAACAGTGAGCTGATCAACGTCCAGAACAGCACCTGCAACTCCGTGGAGAACATCATCGGGGAGCAGCCGCCGCTGCTGCGGCGGGGCCGGAAGAGACGCTGCAAAACAAAGCACCTGGAGCACAACGGCTCCGTCAAAAGACTGAGGCACGTGGCAGGGGAGGTGGGCCTGCCTCCGGAGGTTCGGGACGTGGAGCAGAAGCTCCAGCAAGAGGAGGAGGACAGGAGGCTGGCCCTGCACCTGCAGCGGATTTTCGACAGCGAGAACAGGACAGTGGACAGGCGGAAAGTCCGCGTGGATCGGTACCTGCTGCGGTCCAAGAGCACGCTGGGTGCCAAGTAGCACTGCTGGACGATGTTGCCTTTCTAGAGGACGATGGGGTTTATCAGATTATCTTATAGGAAAACTATTTTTTGCCCTACGTCACCCACGCAGTTGTTTTTTCGTTACGGTGGTGAGACATTGCTAGGTCCAGTTCAGAGAGAAGCCAGCGTCCTTTCAGATTAAAAAAAGAGAGAGTGTGAGAAAAAAAATCCTCCAGTCCTCTCTGGTCCATTGGTCTGAAGGAATTGTCTGTCATCCCTGTGAATACACTGCAAGGCCTCCACAGGCAGATGGGCAGACCTGGGATCCCCAGCTAGGAGGGTTGTGAATATGGGGTATGAGGACCATCCCTTGCCAAGAGAAATATGAGCTCTGCTCATAGAAATTGTCTGAGAGTCTTCTCCTCTCTGCCTGCCCCATTTTCTCCCTCAGGCTGCATCTGGTTGTGGGGTCAGCCTCTTATCCATGCTCTGTATTTCTCCTGGGGAGTTCTAAACAGAGCCCACCCGTAGTACTTCCAAATGAATGTATCTCACTGTCTGCAGCAGCAGTACAGATCATTCGTCACTTTCTTGAAGCAGAAAGCCAAATGCAGTGAAAAGAAAGACCTAAAACAAGGATTTTACTGGAAAACCTGATAGGGGTTTGTAATTTCATGTTCCTGACAGGAGAGAGAGCTCAGGTGGAACAGCTGGAGCCACATGCTGAGCATTGGGACCCCAGGAGCTTTTCTCCCAGTCCATGTCTTTTCCAAACCATGTTCTTCCCTGTAGTATTGAAGAAAGGGAAACACTGTTCAGGGAGTTTCTGGAAGGATGTCCTCCCAGCTGCCACGTCCCTTGCTCAGTTGAGAGCAGTCTCGGCACAGCCAAGGCCTGTCCTTGCCTGTCCCAGAGGAGCATCCCGAGAGATCTGGGCATTGCTGTGCTCTCCAGGCAGCTGACAGGATGGGAGCCCAGCTGTCCTGAGGGCTGCCCTGCCCCTGCTCCAGCTTCCTGGCTTCAGCTCACACCACTAAGAAAGCTCAGGTGAGTGATGCACTAAACTTCCAGGCACGAGGCTGCCTGGGGCAGAGCTGGCTCGGAGCCTGGGCTTGGTGGAGCGTGTGTTCTCTGCCCAGGTGTGGCAGGCCACCCTCTGAGTGTTCCTAACCCTCTTCCATGGATTAATCTCATGGATTATTTCCAGTAACATAGCTCAAAAAGTACCCTTCCAACTCAGTCCGTGGCAGCTGCCTTGCAGAGTATTCACAGGGACCCTCGAGGCCCAGGGGGACCTTTGGGACAGGGCGTGTGGCTTTGCCTGTCCTGCCCCCATGTGCCACGTGGCAGGGGTGTTCTTGGGATGAGCACAGTGCAGGGGCAAACTTCCCGCTGGATCCTGTGAAGGGAGGGCAGCCAGTGCACATCAGTAGCCAGATCTGATCCAAGACAACTGCGTTGCCCAATTTCCTCTGTCTGAAAATGGTTGAATTTCCTCCCTCCATCTTAAACAGTCAAAAAGAAAACAGGAACTGGTTTTCTTTTTCACTGCAAGGACCCTGGCAGGCTTTTTCCCCCTAATTGAACTGGATTTTAAAAGAAACAAAAAAAACAGAAAAAAAGAAAAAAGAAATCTTATATTTTATTGGGTAAAATTTATATATTTTAAATACTATATTTCAACAGATCAACACTTTTGTTTTGAGAAATCTTATAGCAATGATTCCATAATATATATCTCTATCTCTGTATCTCCTTGCCACACAAACTACTGGATGGTTCAGGTTGTACCGGGGCTGGTGAGCCCTGGCCTGCTCTGCCTTCCTGGCACTCCAGGCCCTCTCCTGCGCCTCAGCCTTGGCAGGTGCTGCTTGAAGCAGGCGCTTCGGACCCAAACCAAAACCTGCTCCTCTGTCCAGCTGTGCATTAGAAGGAAATTAAGGAATTAGAACTTTGGCTGGACCCAGAAGAACAGCACAGAGGGAAGTAGTGATGGCCTGGATGTGCCCTCGGAGCTCAGGAGGGAAAGCCGCAGCTTTAACTCGGAATCCATGCTGGTTTTCCCAACGTTTTGAGCTGCAGTATGCACTTCCCAGGTGCAGTTAGATTTAGAATTATTTTTACAGGCCCCCTTTTCTGTGGCTCATCCCTGGAACCCCAAACACACTTCCCTAAACAGTTTCCTTTTTTCTCGTGGTGTTTGTGGGGGTTCAGCTGGGGCTGGGCTGCTTACACCACAAAAAAATGGATTTACACGCTGAATGTATCTTTTCTTTCCCCTCTTAAAACAGATTTCACAGCCCAATGCACTATGCCAGTGTCTTAAATACCTTCTTTTGAAAAGATTTTAAAAGTGTTTAGGGGTTTGTGCGTTAATTTCCTGATCCCAAATCCAAGCCGGGCAGAAGTGTAGGGGGCAGTGCCTGGGCTGGAGCTTGTCCCCACCCAAAAAAAACTTCATGGGACCTCCTGGCTGCCTCCAAAACAGAGATCCCAACTCCCAGGCATCACACACAGGCCACGGCATCTGCGTTCAAGGAGACCTTTGGATGTGCAATCGCAATCGTGTCGTGGAAAGGTTGCGGCGATGCAAAGCCAGGATGAATGTTTTATTAATTTAACACTCTCCAAGTTTGTGTAAGCTTGCAGAAAACAACAAAAATTGTAAATAATTACACTCAAAAGAGCAGGAGCACCCAGCCTCTCCCCTGTAAAGGTCAGGAATGATACCACCTTTGCCAGAAATCATGCCAGCTGAGAAGGAAAATACCTCCTGCTGAACGGTGGATGCAGCACGAGATTAAACCAAGAACTTATTCACACTCCTCTGAAAGTCCTTTGTAAGCCTCAGCTGCCTTCCCTCTGGGATGAAGGCATTCCTTGCTGGCTGTGGGACAGCACGGGCGTGGGAGTGTCCTCCCAAAATGCCTCATCCGGAGGGGCTGGGGTTGGTTCCCTGACAGAAGGACTGTGTCTGCCAAAGATGCCAGCGACTCCCAGAAAGTTGCTTTCCGACCCTCTGGAGCTCTCTGCCCGGGAAAAGCCGTACAGGAAGGTCCGTGTTCGGAGTCAGCGTGATGGGATAAATGAAGGAAAAGTGCCAAAAGGGATCATGCCAGGTGATTGTATGACGTTGTTTATATTGTCAGTATTTCTCTTCCAATGCTATTGTACATGCGGTGCACATGCGGTCATGAAGTGTAGCTTGAACAAGCGCTTCTTTGTATTTTCTCAGTGAAAGCAGAGGGGGAGATCGAAGCCTTAAAGACTCTCACAGATTTCAGAAACAAGCCTTTAGCAATGCTGCGAGGGCCGGGCTCCTGGGCCCTGGGGCAGGGCAGCCCTGTCCTGTCCCCAGCGGCGCGGCCAGGGCTGGCGGAGAGCGCGTCCCGAGCCCGGCTGGGCCCGGCCAGAGCCCGGCCGTGTGCGTGTGGAGCCCGCGGGCTGCCAGCAGCGGAGCCGGGCTGATCCCCGCGTGTGTCCTGCCGTGTCCCCCGCCAGCTCCTCACTATGCAAACGGGGCCGCGCGTCGCTACGCCTCCCTCGCCGCGCTTCCACTGCATGCCTCAGCGTGTGAGTGCAGTGACACGCCGGCATCTGTCGTGTTGTGGCTTCTGGTGTTTGAAACAGAGTAAACCCTGCTTGTGAAACACTCGTCACGAACCAGAGATACGCCGACAAATGTGTACAAATAACAGTGTTTGTTTCAACAGCAACCCGGACTTGAACTGCAGGGCAAAGGCCGAGGTTCAAACAGAATAAAACCAGATTCTGACAGTGAAACTCCCTGCTTCTTGCTGTGCTTGGAAACAAGCAGGATCCTGCTGCTGCTTGTCCCAGACAGGTGACACTGGCCTCCGTCCAAAGGAGGTTGTGGAGTAGTTGAGGAATCACAAGATCATTTGGTTGGAAAAGCTCGGAGACCCAAGTTCCCCTTCCTCTGGGGACAAACGCATTTTAATCCGAGGCTGATGTCCCAGCAGCTGGGTTTGGGCTGGGGCTACTGCAGCAGTAGGTGTCTGTGTGGCACCCTGGCCGAGCTGAGCCGTGCTTTCCCTGTGGGCAGGGAGAGGCAGGAGCCGCCTGTCCCTCCTGCCCGGATCGCTGCCGTCTGCAGCAGACACGCTCAAGCCGTGCTCTCTGCACTTCCAGCTCCGCTGGCACCCCTCCTGCCCAGATCCCTGCCGTCTGCAGCAGGACACGCTCAAGCCGTGCTCTCTGCACTTCCAGCTCCGCTGGCACCTCCGTGTGCCCGGGAGCGCTGCCAGAGGCTGCTCCAGGCCTGGTGCCTGCTCTCACAAACACCGGGACAATGTGCAGCTTCCTCCAGGAATGGCTTGGCACAGCCAGGGCAGCGAGCCAGAGCCAATTCCCACCAAAGGGAACAGGGGCACAGAGTGGCTCACTAGTAACAGGCTCGAGCACAGGCAGGTGGAAATGGAAATCCATTGTTGGCTCCCACTGCAGGGAGATGCATCTGCCCGGAGACCGGGCTGGGGCTGGGGCTGGGGCTGAGGCTGGGGCTGGTTTTTAACATAAAACTGATACCCTGCATCAAAGCAGCTAAACTGCGTCAGCCCCAGTGGCCATCTAGCTTAGCATCGCATCTCCTGTGATGGAAAACGGGGTTCCTTGTCATGGCAGCTGGGGCCAAGCTGTACATGGAGGGTCTGAAAAGGAGGAATAAGCAGCATCCTCTTCACGTGGCTCAGCCACACAACAGGGCTGCTGTATTGGGTTGGAGATCACAGAACCATGGAATAGTTAGGGCTGGAAAAGGCCTCCAAGGCATCGAGTCCCCCAGCGCTGCAAGGCCACCGCTAACCCGTGTCCCCAAGTGCCACATCCACACTTTAAATCCCTCCAGGCGTGGGGACTCCACCACTGCCCTGCGCAGCTGTGCCAGGGCTGGACAGCCCTTCTGGGGTCGGACTGGGCTTGGAGCAGCCTGATCCATTGGAAGGTTCCCCTGCCCATGGCAGGGGGTGGGGCTGGATGGGTTTTAAGGCCGCTCCCAGCCCAAATCCTGGAATTCCATGAAGGGAGCACCTTCCGCACGGCACGGCGACGGCGGGATGGACGGACTGCATTTCCCAGCGTGCCGCGCGGCGCGAGGGGCCCGGACTTCCGGCAGCGCGGCCAATCAGGAGCGCCCAGGTGTCGCGGGCGGGGCGGGGGCGGAGGCGGCGAGAAGATGGCGGCCAAGAGCGGCCGGAACGGGCTCCTGGACAAGGTACGGCGGGCGGGGCTCCTCGGCCGCCCCGAGCGGCCCCCCTCCTGGGCGTCCCTCCCTCAGCCCTGGGCATTCTCAGCCCTGGGCATCCTTATCCCTGAGCATCCCTATCCCTGAGAATTCCCCCTTATCCCCGAGCATCCCCATCCCTGAGAATCCCCCATCAGCCCTGGGCATCCTCATCCCTGAGAATTCCCCCTCAGTCCTGAAAATCTCCATCCCTGAGAATTCCCCTTCAGCCCTGGTCGTCCCCCTCCAACTGCTGCAGATGCTCGTATAAGCAAAAATAAATAGTGGAAAGAATTCGACCCCATTCTCTTATGGAAAGGCTGTGGCTTCCAGTTAACTTGTGTGCTAATTAGCCCTGGAAGAAAATGCTTCAGCAGCAGCCACCTGAAAAGTCTGGTACCATACACCAATGTGCGAGCTGTGTCCCAGTTCTCCATGATTTTTAGATTCTTCTGGCCATTGGTTTTGTGGCTCATGAGCCCATGGACACGCAGTGACATTCGCTGTGTGCCTCAGAATTCCCCGAGGGATAACTGGGCTCTTCCCTGTGCAGCTGCAGGGCAAGCAATGGAGTTTGACATTGTATTTTAAAGGGGTTTTGCTCCTTCAGGGCAGGGAAGGGAGCTCCTTGGGCTGGTAGTTAATCCATCCAGCTTGGGAGCAGGAAGGTGACACGAGTGAAACTGAGGACTGCTCTGCTGGCAGCTGGGATTCCAGCTCCAGTCTCTGACCCGTTTGAAATAAGGGATCACTTGGGACACTCAGGGCTCGGGCTGATGTGTCACCAAACAGTAATGTGGTTCAGGGGAAGTGGGCCCCTTGGAACAGCTGGGAATTGTTACTGGGGAGGGACCCATTCCTGCAGGAGATGTGAATGTGAAGAGTGACAGGGTCCTTTGCTTTTGTTCCAGAGAATGGTTTTAAATATTTCTTGTTTGTGCCTTTTTAATCTCCCCTTGTGCCAAGATTGTTGGGGGTTCTCAAAATTTTCCTCCCCAAGAGCCCGTGTGGAGCAGTGTGTCTGGAAAGCAGGAGCACATCCAGAGGCAGGAATCCAGCCCAGCTGTCCCTCCCTGGGGATGGCAGCAGGAGCAGCAGACGAGGAGGCAAAGCTAAAGCTGCTGCCAGAGGCACATCCAGCCTGTGACAAGGTGGACAGCCTGGAACCCACCAGGAGCTGCTCCGGCAGCTCGGGGTGCACATTCCCTCTGTCCAGCCGGGTTTTCCCAAACAGCTCTGCTCTCTGGCTTGCCCCCTGTCGCTGGGATGGAATTCCCCTCACTCCACACTTTCCGTTGCAGTGGAAGATTGATGACAAGCCGGTGAAAATCGACAAATGGGATGGTTCAGCTGTGAAAAATTCCTTGGACGACTCTGCCAAAAAGGTGGGTTCTCTCTCTGCTGAGCTGCCCTGCTGGAAGCTCTCTGGTTTCCTTTCCTGCTTTTTGGGGCTGGCTGTGCCACAGCCATGCTGGGTCTGGTGGCATTCCTTGTGATTCCCGCGTGTCCGTGCTGCCTGAGGCAGGCATCCATCCCCCACAAACCTTCTGCCCAGTTCAGCTGTGCCCCTGGGGCTGCTCCCTCCAAACCCTTCCCAAAAGCAGCGTGTCAAATCCCTGACAAGCTCCCCCTGGACTCGGCTGCCTGTCTCTCCACAGGTGCTCCTGGAGAAGTACAAATACGTGGAGAACTTCCGCCTGATCGATGGGCGCCTCATCATCTGCACAATCTCCTGTCTCTTTGCCATCGTGGCTTTGATTTGGGATTACCTGCACCCTTTTCCTGAATCCAAACCCGTCCTTGCCTTTTGTGTTGTCTCATATCCTTCACAGAGGTTATACCGCAGGGGTTTGATTTTCCACAGGAACAAAACCGTTCTGGATGTTCCCATTTCCAGGCCTGCGGGAATTACGCTTCCTGCCATGTGGAGATCAGCTGACAATCAGACAGTTTCCATGTGACAGGAAAGTTCTGGGTGTAATGCCCCTAAATTTGGGTGGTCTGAGGCAGATCCTTTTTTTTCATTCCATCCACAGTCTGGCTCCAGACACACTTGTTTTTCCCTAGTACCACAGGTCAGATGCTGGGAGGGGAAGGAGGAAATTCCTGCCAGCAGCTCTCTGCAGAGGGATCTGGACAGGCTGGATCCACTCCACAGCTCAGTGCTGAGGCTCAGCAGTGCACAGGAGTAGTGGTGGCCTTGGCTGGGGGAATGGTGGCCTGGGGGAGTGGTTGGACTCAATGGTCTCAGA